TCCTCAATCCTTCTTCTTTCTTCTTTATCCTCTCTTCTTTCTCTCTTTATTCTAAATATTTCATTGTTCACCCAAGAACTCTGTTTCTCAATATTTATTTGTTGAAAGATATCGTTTCTGATCACAACAAATTGGTGCGGTGAGCGTGGAGAAGATGTCGTCAACAAAGTTTGAAATTGAGAAGTTCATCAGAGTTAATGATTTTGGTTTATGGAGTTTGAACATGCGAGCCCTACTTGTTCAACAGGGTTTGCTAGAAGCTTTAAAGGGATAAGATGCTATGGATGCTGCATTGATGGAGAAGGAAAAGACAATGATGATCAAGAAAGCTCATAGTGCAATTGTTCTGAGTCTTGGTGATAAGGTTCTCAGGCAGGTTTCGAAGGAGACAACGACATCTGGTGTTTGGCTGAAACTCGAAGGATTGTATATGATAAATTCCTTGGTGAATCATTTGTACTTGAAGCAAGTTTTGTATTCATTCAAGATGAATAAAGATAAAGCATTAACGGAACAACTAGATACATTCAGTAAGCTGATTCTTGATCTTGAAAATATTGATGTTACCATCAATGATGAAGATCAAGCGCTGTTATTGTTGTGTTCTTTATCTAAGTCACATGCTCACTTCAAAGAAACCCTCTTGTATGAAAGATAGTCCTTTTACATTTGAAGAAGTTCAAGCAGCCATGTATTCGAAGGATTTTAACGAAAGAAAGGAGCAAAAACCATCATCATCAGTTGGCAAAGGATTGTCCGTGAAGGGGAAATCCTCGAAGAGAGATGGTAGGTTTGAGAAGAAGTAAGGTAAAACTCAGCAGAAGTCTTATAATGGTGATATTTCTGGGATTAAGTGTTATCACTGTAAGAAGGAAGGTCACACAAGAAAGATGTGCCCATAGCGCCTGAATAATCATGGAGGTAAGGACAATGACAATGTAGATATTGTGCAAGATGATTATGAATCATCTAATGTCCTTGTGGTGTCGAGCATTAACTCTTGCAAAGAGTGGATTATGGATCATCTGATTTCCTTGTGGTATCGAGCTATTGTACAAGAATTTGTTTAAAGAATTATGTGATCAAGATGGTGGGTTAGTGTTGTTGGGAAACAATAAAGCTTGCAATATTGCAGGTATTGGATCTGTAAGATTCAAGCTCCATGATGAGTCAATAAGGCTATTGACTGGGGTTAGGTGTGTACCTGACCTTAAGAGGAATTTGATTTCTCTTGGTGAATTCAACAAGAAAGGATATGTCTTTAAAGGGGAGCAATGTTTCCTTTAAGTCATGAACGGGTCAAAGGTAGTCTTGAGAGGCATGAAGAAACAAGGCTTGTATACCCTTGAGACTGAGGTTGTAAATGGTTCACCAAATTTTTCCTATAAAACCTGTGCCAAAGACAAAATTATAGCACATGAGATTAGGCTATGTCAGCGAAAGAGACCTGGTAGAATTGGGGAAACAGAACCTGCTAGGTGGTGACAAAGTTGAGAAGTTTGAGTTTTTTGAACCTTGTGTGTTTGGTAAATCCTGTAGGACGAAGTTTAACAAAGCTAAACAAAGAACACATGGATCCCTTGATTACATTCATGCTGATCTTTGGGAGCCTGCAAGGAATCCTTCACATTCAGGTGCAAGGTATTTTCTATCCATAGTTGATGACTATTCCAAAAAATTATGGGTATTCATCCAGAAGACTAATGATGAAACTTTTGAGAATTTCAAAAGTTGGAAGGTTCTGATCGAAACTCAAACTGGCAGAAAGGTTAAGAAGTTGAGAACCAACAATAACATTGAGTTCTGCAATGAAGCTTTCGATAATTACTGTGTTGAGTCTGGAATTGCAAGACATAAGATTGTAGTAGTACTCTTCAACAAAATAGCTTAGCTGAGAGATTTAATCGAACAATCCTCGAAAGGGTTAGATACATGTTGGTTAGTGCTGGATTGAAGAAGGTATTTTGGGCATAGACTGTTTCGTCAGTAGCTTATCTGATAAATAGATGTTCGTCGACTGCCTTGGGAATGAAGACACCTGAAGAAGTTTGGTCAGGTCAACCACCAGATCTCGACAAACTGAGAGTATTTGTCTGTTAAGCCTATGCTCACATTAGGCAAGACAAGGTCGAACCTAGAGCTCTGAGATGCATGTTCCTTAGATATCCTGAGGGAGTCAAAGGTTATAGGATGTGGTGCCTACAACCAGGTCACAGAAGATGTATCACAAGTCGTGATGTAGTTTTCAATGAAGTCGAGAGGTGTTCAAGGAAACTGGTGATGTTGGTCGAAGTGCAGAAATCTCTGAAGAGAAGCTGGAACAAGTAGAGATTCATGTTGAGGTGGAGCATAGTGATGCTGAAGTGCATAACCCATATGAAGTCGAAGAAGAAGAGAAATATGATGAAGAGGATGAGAAAACTGTCGATGACTACTTACTGGCAAAAGATAGGTCGAGGAGAGTCATCAAGCCACCTCAGAGACTTGGTTATGCATATCTTATAGCTTTTTCCTTAATCTATGCAAGTGAGGTACTTGAGGAAGAACCTAGAGATTACATGGAAGCTATGACGAGTCAGAATAAGACTGAATGGCGAAGAGTCATGGATGATGAGATGAAATCTCTTCATGATAATAACACCTGGGAACTGATTGAGAAACCTGCAGGAGCAAGGTTACTCAGTTGTAAGTGGATTTTCAAGTTTAAAGAAGGAATTGAAGGAGTGATGTCAAAGCGCTTTAAGGAAAGGCTGGTTGCTAGGGGGTTCACTCAGGAAAGAAGATGTCGACTTCAATGACGTGTTATCACCTGTTGTAAAGCATATATCCATTAGAATGTTGTTGGCCATGATGGCGAAGTTCGACTTAAAACTTGAGCAAATGGATGTGAAAATAACATTTCTGTATGGTGACCTAGACGAAACAATCCCGATGCGTCAATCTGAAGGGTATGCAGAAAAGGATAAGGAAAACTATGTGTGCAAGCTGAATAGGTCTTTGTATGGCCTGAAACAATCTCCTAGATAGTGGAACAGGAGATTCGACAAGTTCATGGCACACACTGGTTTCACTAGAAGCCAGTTCGACCACCGTGTTTACTTCAAATTTCGACCTGAAAACTCACTTGTTATTTTGTTGCTTTATGTGGATGATATCCTCATAGCTAGAAACAGGTGAAGGTTGAACTCAGTAAGGAGTTTGAAATAAAGGATTTGGGAGCTACCACCAGGATTCTTGGGAGTGACATCTTGAAAGATTTAAAGCAGTCGAGGTCATGCTTATCTCAAGAGACATACCTATGAAAGCTTCTCGACAAGTTTGGTATGTCGAATTCAATGCCTGTTGTGACTCCAACGAATCCTCAGTTTAAGCTTGGTACTACTCAAAGTCCTAGTACTAAAACTGAAATAATCTATATAAGTAGCATTTTATATGCTAGTGTAGTAGGTTCTTTGATGTATGCTATGGTATGTACGAGGCCAGACATAACGTATGGTGTGAGCCTTATAAGCAGGTATATGACAAATCTTGGAAAGGTGCACTAGCAAGTTGTAAAGTGGATTCTCAGGTACATAAATGGGTCTCCAAAAAGATTCTTGATTTATGGTGGAGCCTGTGGTGATGATAGCAAAGTTGAAATCAAAGGGTTTGTCGACTCTGATTATGCAGGTTGTATGGATTCCAAAAAGTCTATTTTTAGATATGTGTTCACTATGTCTGACACAACAATCAGTTGAAAAGCAACGCTTCAGAAGGTTGTTGCCTTATCAACCACTGAAGAAAAATGTATTACCCTCACTGAAGCTGTGAAAGAAGGATTGTGGCTTGAAGGTTTTGCAAAGAAGCTGAAACTTCAAGGTCAAAGTATCACTGTTAAATGTAATAGTCACAGTGCAGTACACCTGTCGAAGAACTCAGCCTATCATGAGCGAACAAAACACATCGATGTGAGGCTGCACTTCGTCAGAGAGATAATCGAGCGTGGTGAAGTCTAGGTGCTGAAGGTTTCGGCTGATGACAATGCTACTGATATGATCACCAAGACGTTGCCAAGTTGCAAGTTTTTCACTATATGCAGTTGATAAAGCTGCACAATGAAAGTTAGTTTATTCCCTATTGTTTGTAGAGTTAGATCCAAGGTGGAGATTTGTGAGGTTTTGTGTCGAACTCTAACTCTGTCTAGGGATAACTTTCAAGTGTTTCGACAGGAGACAAGCATGAAGTCAAAGATAGGTCGCATGCTGTAGTCGAAGGATACATATTATAGTCGAAGTATGTTCTAATATGTATTGTCGAAATGTTTGTCGAATTGAGCCTTATGTTAAGGATCCAATTGTTTAGTTAACTTGAGTTATAAGTTAACTAGTAAGTATATATATAAGCTAGATCACTCAGGTTGTTAAGTGAGGCCAATTGTGTTATTCACTTGTAATCTTTTGTAATATTGAAAAAGTGAATAGTATAGAAATTTTCCCTAATCCTTCTTCTTCTTTCTTCTTTATCCTCTCTTCTTTCTCTCTTTGTTCTAACTGTTTTATTATTCATCCAAAAACTCCGTTTCTCAATCTTTATTTATTGAAAGGTATTATTTGTAATCACAACATATTGTAATGCAAATATAGTCATTTTAGTACTTTTAGTATAAAAAAAAGGCTACATGAATATTTGATACATTTATATTTGAGTTCTTCTAATATACAACTCTTCTTTTATTACTAAAATATACAACTTTCTTTTATCAATTAAGATATATAGTAATTAAAAATTTGAAGGACATATTAAATTCTATTGTTATTTTGTTTTACAAAATAAATAGGTTTTTGGAAAACATAATTATGTGTGCACGCTTCAAAAATCAGTACCTGCATTAGACTCCACTGTTATATCAACATTAACTTCGTGCTTGTCATTTCAAAATGCAATATGATACTTATTACTTGTTCTCTTTCTTTTTCTTTTTTTGAAAAAAATACATAATGTGATTCAATTACAAATTATTTTCATGTCTTTCCTAAGTTTGATGGAGGCAAAAAGCTTTCAGCAGTCAAACCCCAAATATTAAAATCTACCTCTTCAATCTTCCACCTTTCTTCCAATTCTCTTTTGTGATTTGCTGATTGTTCTCCATATCTAGAAACTGTAACACGAGTTATGCCACTATGCGAAACATTTATTCCATCTACATATCTATAATCATCAATTACTGATTCTAAACTTGTTTCCCAGAAAATGTCAGTATCATCTTTGGTTCTCATTGTTAGTAATCTAGAATCTTCAAATTGAACTAAAAGACCTGATCGTTGGCTAAAATAGCCCCATATTGTATGATGAATGACTTCAAAATTTGGTCCACTTTGAGCCTCACGAATGGCTGGACTTGTTTCTAGTTTTAGAATAAAACATTCTTCTTCGTTGATTATTTTCTCTCCTATACATGCAGCGTCTAAAAATAAATTAGCCGTAGCCCTTGGGTCCAATCCCTACAAAGAAATAATTTAGTTATACTCAACAAGAAGAACAAATAAAAAGCATTACAAAATATGTTATGTTTTACTACCAAACATCAAGTAATATATACACCTGAAGGAAGCGACGAAGAGGCCTAGGAGCACCTTTTGAAACAGGTGTTTGTTGATTAGAAGAATGGCGCCACGAAACCTTACCATTGCTACCGCAACAAACTTTGCAACCTGACACAACAAGCTCTAAACACCACAAATCTGGATCCTTTTGCCATAAAACAAATCCTCCATTTTCTTCTGAGGTTTTTTTCACATCACCGGTTTCACTGGTATGATGAAAATCTGATGCAGTAATTTTAATTTGCCCCATTACACACATACTTTCCACAACATTTAATGCTGGTTGTCCTCCTGTTGCTGCTATGTATTGTTGCACTATATATTTGGCTGTTGATGCTTCCTACCAAATATAAATATAAATATTTGTTTGTCAAATGTAAATGTTTAATAACGACTACAATTTAATCACACATATCAAAATTTAGAATCACATATCATGATGTTATTTGTATTCTGCTCCTATAAGAGTATGATATATATCATTCTATAATATGATAGAATAACGCAAATAACATTATAATAATTGTTCATAAATTTTATGCATGCGTTCTTACAATTGAACAATCTCTGACGGGACGATGAATGGAATGTCCTAATTGAACTTGAAGAGGTATAAGAGGAGAACCAACAAGGTAAAGCAAAAAACGAAGCTCATTTAACCGTGCACAAACTGTAGGAGAAGACAATCTATCCTCAGTTTGAGCCTTCATCCATGTTAACATATTCTGCCACCTTAATGTTACAGTACTTCCCATGTTTGAAAACATTTCTTCAGGTATAGGTATTTCAAGAACAGTTTCCAATCCATCTTCTTTATCTATGTTTGGACATAGTCTCCTTAATGATGACTTTGCAATTGTTTGTTTCATTTCATTAGTGTGAGATATAGATAAAGATCGAGACAAGACAATGTACAAGGACGAAGTTGATTGAAGATGTGAGATGAGTGAAGAAATGGAGAGAGAAAAATTAAAGAGTAAAAAACTAAATCATCTTTAATTAATGTATGAAAAATGAGAGGATGTGATTAATTAGAAGACTCTCCTTGTTTATAGGTGTTGTGTGGGCACAAATTCTGGTTTGTTATGTTTCATTGTTTTTCTTTAAGTTTCTATTTAAAGATTTAATCTATGATTTTTTTTAATAAACTTTAGTTTTTAATTATGCATTATTTCCTTAATTATATTTTAAATTCTAAATTCTAAATTTCTCTCAATGTTAAAAGGAAAATTCTCAAGTGTCACAATCATTTAAAAATATATATTTTTTCTTCACTTTCTACCTTTATTTAAATACATGCATGCGTCTAAATAGCATGCTCAAATAGTTGTAACCAATTTAAAATTTACTCTTATATATTATTAAGAATATGAAAATTTATAACACTTCTGTCTTTTCTATTCTCAACCCAAATTCTATGAAGTCTAGACTTAGGAGGAATAGTATTGTGAGCCTCAATACTGCAAGAGGAAGAATATAGTAGGTTCATGAAGTGAAATCGAAACTCAAATTCCATTTTGAAAGTAGGTTTGACAACTTTCTTTGGAGGATAAAAAGATGCTTGAAGATCCTTTTACTTTGGAGGAGATAAAAGTTGTGGTTTGGAGTGGAGATAAAGACAAAAGTCCAGGACCGAACAGGTTCAATTAGGGATTCTTCAAGGTTTGCTGAAATTTCATTAAAGACGATCTATACCATTTTACTAATGATTTCCACGAGTTTGGTAGGGTTCATAAGACAATAACAACTTCGTTTCTTGCTCTTGTTTTTAAAAGAGATACCTTCAAGAGATCGACGATTTTAGACCAATTTGTCTTATCGGTAGTCTCTATAGGATTTGTCTAAGATTTTGGCAAATAGACTTAAAAAGGTTCTAAATAATCTGATATCAAAAACTCAAACAGCGTTTGTGGCAGGAAGGCAAATGTTAGACGATATTTTGGTGGTGAATAGGGTGATAGATTTTGCGAGGAAAAGTAAGGAGGGATGCTTAATTTTGAAGGTGGATTTTGCAAAGGCGTACAATTGCTTATTGTGGGATTATTTGGGGAACATATTAGAGCGGATGGGTTTTGGTTCTAGATGGTTACGGTGGATGAACACGTTGATCTTCAACAACACAATGTCGATTTTAATTAATGGTAGTCCTACGGAGGATTTTGTGGTTCGTAGAGGGATTCGACAAGGTGATCTGCTCTCTCATCTTCTTTTTTGATGCAGAATGCTGTTAATCTGGGGCAGTTTAGTGGAGTCAAGGTAGAAGAGTTGATGCATTTTGAGTTGCTGCAGTTTGCAGACGAAATAGTGGTGTTATGTGATAGTAAGTGGGATAATTTATGGATTTTAAAAGCTATTATTCTTGGATTCCAATTGGTGTTCGGTCTAAGTTTAAACTTGAACAAAAGCTGGGTCTATGGTGTAAACATGCGTCCTGATTTTTTACATGTTGTTGCTACATTTCTTTCGTGCAAAGTTGGAACCATTCCGTTTCTGTTCCTAGGTCTGCCAGTTGAAGCTAATCACCACAGGAAAACTACTTGGAACCCCATTATCGCAAAGATGCGTCGGAGGCTGTCGGTGTGGAATAGCAAGTCCCTGACTTTGGCAGGAAGGGTAACTATGTTGAATGTGATTTTGACTAATATTCTGGTTTACTTTCTCTCTTTTTTCAAGGCTCCAAAAGACGTGGTGCAACAATCGATATCCATCCAACGAAGGTTTTTATGGGGAGGGGTGGATGAAGTTAAGAAGATTTGTTGGATTAAATGGGACGATCTATGCAAGACTAAAAAGGACGAGGGCTCGGGTCAAACATGTTGGGAGGTTTAACATCACACTTCTTAGCAAATGGTTATGGCAAATATTGGATGAGAAAGATAATATTTGGACTGGGCTGTTAAGGGAAAAGTATGATAATCTTCATTTCAACATTCTTTCCAATTCTTGTGATTCAAATTCGGTTATTCTTAAGCAATCGTTGTGGTGGAGAGACATTAGTAGTATTGGAATGATGTTGAACCCGGATGATAATTGGCTCAATAATTCAATTTACGGGAAACTTAGGGTCTGTTTGGTTCAAATGAGGGGGAGGGGAGGGGAGGGATTTTAATGAAGGGGAGGGGAGGGGAGGGGAGGTGAATGAATTTTTTAATCAAATAAGTGTTTGGTTCAAAAGAGAGGAGGGGAGGGGAGGGGAGGGATTTTAATTAAAAATGTGTTTGGTTCAGAAGGGGAGGGGAGGGGTTTTATTAATAATTTACATTTTTATCCTTATGATCTTATATAAGTCATATGATATTAAAATGTGAAAAATTCGTGCGTATTTTTGTTGGTAATAAAATTTCTAATATTGAGTGATTAAAAAAATATTTATTTGTCACATAAAGTTAAAAAAAATTGAGTACAATCGGTTCGACTTATAACTTTCCAACATAAATTAAACTATATGCCAATAACATCGTTTAAATTGTGATGAATCATATAACAAAACAAATATATAAAATAACTTATTACTAAATATTAATAGTTCAAAATATTTAATAAAATGAATAAACAAAAATAAATAAAATGATATGGTTTACAATTTGATATAAAAGAAAATATGATAGAGTACATAATAAAATTAAAAGAAAAAAACGAATATAACGAAACATAATTTTTTTTATAAAAAAAAGACAATGATTATGATTTATATTAATTATAAAAATTATAAAATAATTTGAAGGTGGAGAACAATTATAATAAGTTGATTAAAACAATCGAGAAAAAACAGTAACACAAAAGATAACAAATAGTTTTGAAATAATAAAATTAAACTGATGATATTTTAGTAAATATAATAGTTTTTAAATATCAAAACTCATATTCCCTCCCCTCCCCTCCAAATCCCCCCAATTCGGAGGGAACCAAAAAGTGTGTTTTGGAGGGATTTTGCTCCCCTCCCATCCCCTCCTAAAATTTGAACCAAACATATTTAATTAAAAATTTCCCCTCCCCTCCCCTCCCCTCCCCTCCATCTACCCCGAACCAAACACACCTTTAGAGATGACATTACTTTATATTTTTGGCAGCAGGCGTGATGTGGGCAGATTTTCTTCAAAGCTGCTTTCCCAGACTTGCACAGTTCAGTTGTTCCGGGGCTGACTGTCATAGCGTCGATGGGTGCTTGGATATGGGATTTATGGGTGTGGAGTTTAACTAATGTGAACAGGTCTACGTCGGGGCATTCGGTGGTTTAGTTTTTGCATGGAGTAACTTTTACAAAGTGTTTGTCCGAAGCAGCTAGAAGAAGATTCATTTGTTTGGACGACAAGTTGTTACCTCCAGTTAGTCATGAACAACACGAAGTATTTATGATAGATAATTTGATTCTCAAAGGTATATCGGATATTTGGAGATTAAAGGCACCGAGTAAAATCCAGTTTTTTGGTTAGCGATGTATGTTGGACAGGCTGCCTACAAAACTGAATTTAATAAGAAGATGTATAATTTTAAGTAATTTTAGTTGTCTGTTTTGTTATAATGCCGACGAAAATCTTTTTCATCTTCTTTATTCTTGTGATGTGGTGCAATTGGTTTGGGAGGGCCTTTATGATTGGCTTGAAATTGATTCTTGTAGGGAGCAGACTTCTTTGGGATCTCTGTTCTTGCATTTTAAGTTGTTATGCTCTAAAAAGTTTAAAGTTGAGTTTCATAGTTGTTTATTGTTGGCAATCTGTTAGGTGTTGTGGAATGATAGGAACTCTATCATTTTTTAAGAAGGGAGATCGGAGGAAATGGATTTTATGAGGACTATAAATTTTTTATCTAAGGAGTGGTTTTTGAATATGTCTTGTGGGCAGACTGTAATAGATTTGTTGGTGCCAAAATAATTCGCCGCTCTATTAGTTGGATAACGTTTTTTTTGCGGTTGTTTTGTTCCATTCTGTTGATGTTTTCTTGTATTATTTGGGTTGAGCATCCCTTATATATATATATATATATATATATATATATATATATATATATATATATATATATATATATATATATATATATATATATATATATATATATATATATATATATATATATATATATATATATATATATATATATATATATATATATATATATATATATATATATATATATATATATATATATATATATATATATATATATATATATATATATATATATATATATATATATATATATATATATATATATATATATATATATATATATATATATATATATATATATATATATATATATATATATATATATATATATATATATATATATATAGGGACGTATCATATGAGAATATCATTTTTAGATGAGAATATGAGAATGAATCTGAACCGTTAGATTTTAAAATAAATGATAGAGATTATGTGTCAGTTTTTTTTTCTCTCGTCCATCATTTATTTTAATAATGAAAGACACAAACAAACAAAAACTACCAATAATCTCCATCATTTATTTTAAAATTTAATGATTCTGATTAATTTTCATATTCTCAAATAAAAATGACTTTCACGAATACTCTTCCTGTTCCACCTCTTTTCCAGAGATCTTCGTACTTTGACTAACATCATCAGTTTTTTTGAAATCCATCTCAACTTCATTGAAAACTACATCTCGACTTATGATACACCTCGTCTGACCGGGCTTTAGGTACTATAACCTACAAGCTTTGACTCTTTTAGGGTATCCAAGGAACATACATCTCATAGTCCTAGGTTCGACCTTGTCATGCCTAATGTGAGCATATGCTACACAACCAAATACTCTAAGTTTGTCATGGTTTGATGGATGACCTGGCAAATCTTCTTCAGGCATCTTCACCCCTAAAGTAATCGAGGGACACCTATTTGTCAGG